CGTCTACAGTCACGTTCTCACAGACGCGCCGTCGCCTCCCTCTGTCTCTTCTACAAATACTTTCATGGCAATTGCTCCGAGGAGCTGCATTCGCTGGTTCCCAGACTTCATGACTTCCAGCGCCCTACGAGGCTAGCACCCCGCTCTCACCCTTTCACTGTCGAAACTCCTATAGGTAGTCGTCTCTTCTACTCCAATAGCTTCATGTCTCGCACCTATCGCTTGTGGAACTCCCTTCCCTATTCCAGTTTTCCTGAGAGCTATAATCTCCAACTATTCAAATGTAAAGTCAATCGATATCTCCAGTTGCCTTGATCTATCCACACTCCCTTCTCCTCATCCTTTCCTCTATCACTCCTATTTGATCTTGCTCCAAATCTTCTGTAACCCCTAGTGTCCTAGTGGCTTCCCGCCTTGCTTGGGGTCAAACGCTTAAAAAAAAGTATATAGTGTTAAAATGAGACTTCATTGTTATTTTCATTTTTGTGTAATTTAGGCGACAATTTATCCATCGCCCACTGTATATAAGAAAACTGTTTCAGTTCTATTATGTTGTATTGTACTTTTCATACGTAACGATTTAAAAAATAGTTCCATTTGTCATGATACTTGTCTAACGGCCGATTACTAATCCACAAGTTCTAGTCTGTTTTTTGTTTCTGAAATTAGTGCAAACTAAACTCTGATTATTTAATATCAATACAGCGTCTTTGAGATGATAAAGTGTTTCATGTAGAATGATGTCAATCGCAGTGGAGATTTAGCCTAGGTTCATTTCTGGCCACCAAGTGGTGAAACATATGACCTAATAATCAAGCATCGAGAGAGGATTTGGTCAGTCTCTTACACATCTCCGGCTGAATGTAAGGTCCACGTATCGGAATCGTGGTGCTATCGACCACACACGTACAAATGTAACGATGTTAATCGATGGAATCAGATGTTGACTCAAATATGAAGTTAGATGCAAAAAATTGTGTTATTATTACATTGATACTCTCTAGATGCGCTGATTTGATAGTAATGTACCATACACGAATAAATAATAATAGACTTCGGTTTCTTGTTTTCATTAATTGTTGCAACAGTCTTAAAAATTGAAAGTGTTAATTCTTGCAACGGTTGATGTAGTGGCAATAACGATAATACCATTGCAAGTAGAGCTTCACAGTTTGTGAAGTTGAGGCGTGATTCGTTCAAGAGTCGAACGTAAAAATGACTTAGATAAGAGATGATTTATTCTGTGAGTGTGAATTTTTCTTTATGATGCAAGTCTTAAATTACAGATATAGTTTCCCCTGTGAGTTTGGGTGTGGGGAAAACGGTGTCAAACCTCGAAGTGGACGAAGATCAAACAAGTTGAAGAAAGAATTCTCGAATGAAGTTGCTTTATATATTTGCGGCTTTCGTTTCCGTCACATGATTGTTTTATAGTTGAATATCAGAACAGAGAAACGTGACAGCATATGCGGTGTTTGATGTATGCTTATCTGAGATATGACGGGCGGGCAACAATTGACGCAATACATATATATATATGTGTGTGTGTGTGTGTGTGTGTGTGTGTGTGTGTGTGTGTTAACTTCAAATGTTAATATAGTGGATATATTTGAAGGAGACACCCGCTTTTTATTTACTAAACAGTGTGGATTGCATTTATCGCCCGGCACATTCGAGAAATCTTAATAAAGAAAATGCGGTCCCCGCGAGGGATGGAAACTGCAATCTTCTTGGTAAGGAGAAACACAGTTTGACCCCGTGTTTAACACACAACCAAAGAGAACGCATCAATAAGCGAGGTTGTATTTTCCATTTTAGGAAAGGAGCTCTTCTTTACCGGGTTTAATAAGGAACGCATTTTTCTTAACTAAATTTCTCTAACGTGCAGACGCAATAAGAACTGTTTAATAAATAAAAATATTGCGTCTTTTTCAAACAAGGAGTATCCCCTATAAAAACGTAAGAATTAATAAAATATCGGATTAAAAACAACTGTTGATTCATTACAGGTATATATATATATATTAAGGAATGGACAAAGTCCGACAATTTATTTATTAAAGACATTTTTATGTTTAACGTTCTATCTTATAGATACAAGTATTTAAGTAAATGCTCTGTTTATAATAAACAGTATTAAATAAAATTTACCGGCCTGAATGTCCGAGAAATTTTCATAGAAAATATTCGTCCTTTGACAGGATTTGAACCTGCATCCTATACGGAACCGTCATTTACGCTGACGTGCCTTACCGACTCGGCCACAAAGGAGCGTTCGGTAGCCAAGGTCGAATTTACTGCTTATAAACTTCAATCTTCCATGAATCTCATACATTCATAACTGCTCTGGCGTATCAAATGTAAACAAATGACGTCATATATTAAGAATTGGACAAAGTCCGACAATTTATTTATTAAAGACATTTTTATGTTTAACGTTCTATTTTATAAATACAATATATATATATATATATATATATATATATATATATATATATATATATATATATATGTTGTAACAGCAAAATTGTCCAAATCTTGTAACAGCAGAATTCTCCAATTGCTAGATTAAACTTTGAACCGTCGTATCTTAGAAATAAGTAAAGATATCTTTATCTTGAATTCGCCGAGATTTTGACACTATATATATATATATATATATATATATATATATATATATATATTAAAAGAGTAAGAAATAATAATGAGATTCAGAGTTCTTAGCATTTACTTTTATTTTTTGAAAATCAGTGCTTGATACAAACAGTAGAGTCTAATATTATAATTGTTTTTTAACATATATTACCATAGCGACAAAAAAATCCTATGTTTTAAAACTGAGACTTCAATCTAAATTTAATCATAAAAATTAAACTTAAAATACAAAGTTCCGTTCCATTTTCAAGCGAATTTTTATGATTAAATTTGAATTGAAGTTTCAGTTTTGAAACGGGATGTTCTGTGTCGCGATGGTAATAGATTTTCAAAAACAATTATTATATATATATATATATATATATATATATATATATATATATATATATATATATTATTTATGATACATATTTAGTTTTAAGGTATGCGATATTTACGGGTTATATGTTCAATGTCATGTTAGAGCGTATGCAAATATGAAAGCGGGCACTGAGTTCAACAACAAGCAGCGACAGTCTTTATCATGTAATCCTCAGGCCATGTTTGATGCTTGATGTGTGTTAATATATGCTGTCAATGGTGCATTATGTGTAGCAAGGTCTATTAATGTTATCCTAAGGGTTAATTGAAATTGCAAAATATAACCGTTACCCCCTACCCAAATACAATAATTATTTTCTATCGATATCTCTTTCCATAAGTATAATTATAAATGCCTAAATCTGGAAATAATATTTTACGTTATCTTCATGTTAATCTATGTACATCGTGTACAAGCTAAATTTGATAAAGTTTAATGTTGTTTTTTGTTTTTGTTTTTTTCAAATTGCTTTGGAATATCTGTAAACCTTGAACGGCATTGTGGAAGCTAATCATTACCGTTTTAGAGGAGTCAAAGTTCATTGACCTTAGACGAGTGGAAGCCACCTGAATATTGGAGAAGGTTAACCTGCATCGATTCGTCCCGGGCATTAAAATGATGCAATCTTGAAAGCTGATCAATGATCTTTGAACACAGTGAAGACAATAAGACTTGAAATGAAGAGCTACAACGGAGTCTACGGCGACGTGGCTTAATTGGGGGCGACATAGCAGACGTCCTGGTTCGCTTTGTGCACCGGATTTCATCCAACTACTGCAGAAGAAAGTGATAGAAGAACCAGGTAAGGGAATACGGGCTTTGGCTCGGGAAACTGGTGCTGCAATTTCCACTTCACTTCCAGTCATACAAGGCAGACAATTTGTCTAACAAAGGCAAAGAAGCTTCTAAACAAGGAGAAACATCCTGTTGGACCAGGGACAATCGGGTTTTTCTCTGATGAAAATATTTTTTTATCAGGACCAGCTGCACAACACCCAGAACAACAGATTGCTTGCCTATAATCAAGAAGTTTTTTTTTCTCACTCAACTGCGACCTACACATAATAAGAAGGGGAGTTAGGTCGCCAGATGTAAGGGCTGGTCGCAGAAATTGTCTAACAGCTATGATTGGGTTCTGCTGCTTGTGTGACATGGTGCAGAGTCCTGTTGCCGGACGTAGAGCAAGCGACCTTCTTGACCCAAGACAGAACTACCTCCTCAAAGCACTTGATGTATGCCTCGGCGTTTAGTCTGGAGCCCTCACGAAAAAAATTTGGGAGTTCTTTTCTTATCAAGGACAATCATAGTGGTTTTTATGAGTTGACGTAACTCGGGAAACACTATTAGACTCATCCAACTGTTTCCGAATCCTCTGAACTTTCCTCAGATTGACACCTAAACCCTCTGAAACGTACGTATTGGAGCCTCTGGCGAGAATGCAAAGCAGTACAGCATCCCGTTTCCAAATTTCTGGCGGAGTGAATTGCATCATGGTGCTTTCTTTTTTTTTTAATACAGGCTGTGCCCAACTGACCCTACTATACTGTGCAGTCGACAACATCAAAACAACGCGCATACCCGAAATTAAAAATATAAATTGGCGAAAATTTTCCCATCGCACCCTGCATGCCTTGTCTCTTCAGGACCTGGATGATAATGATTATCTATAGCTTCCTTTATAGTACACATCAAGTGCTCCAGACCAGCTGCAATCTTAAGCTGAGCGCTAAACTTCAGCAAAGTTTCGGCCCATTAAGCTCAGTACCTTTCCACACGGTAGGGCCGCAACAGCTAGATGATGTTACGTTGCAACCGGTCTATGTTAGTTGGTTGCGACTCGATAAGAATTTTGGGATAATCCATACACTGCCTTCCACCGCTTTTTCATCACAAGTCTTTATCACCTTATCCGGCTTTTGGATCCCAGCACACTTGAGGAATCTCTTTAAAGAGGCAGCAGGAAATCCTCTACAACCAACCTCAA